ATGATGTGTGCTTAGTTTAGCTAGGAGCATGTGTTCCTTTGAGATGTAGCAATGTTTTCAGAGTAATTCCATTGCTGACCAAAAGATCTAGGAAAAAATACCATGTCACCATATTTAACCACAGGCTTAGGGCTTGTCTATATTGAGGTGGGCAGTGTAGTTCATGTGGAGCTGGCATACCAAGTATTGAGTACACAGTCAGTTGATGCAAAACGCTGACTGGCTCATACAAAGTGTAAGTCAGGACTTTCCAATTGGCAGCCTGTGAGGGACTAACATACAGCCCGTGAGCTTCTGCCTACCCTCTACTTACCTCATTCTTTTTGATGAAGTGGTGGCCAGGGTGTCTGTGTTCCCCCTCCCTCCCCAACTTCAGCCTTCTGCCTCTAATCCTGAGGGTGGGGTGGCACTGGGGAGGGGGACCAGGATGCCAGTGTGGTGTGTGCATGATGGGGGAGGGGGTTGGGCTACTTGCACTGCATGCTTACCAAGGGGGAGCTGAGCTGCTTGTGCACTGTGGCATGTGTCATGGGGAAGGGGGAGGAGGGGTTGCTCATGCAGTATGTGAAGCAGGGGACCCGGGGTGCTTTTTGTTGCATGTGCAGCACAGCAGTGGAAGGAACTGGGTTGCCTACATGGCAGAGGGGGAAGACGGCTCACAGAGGGCATCCACCTGGGAGCAGGGTGAGGTGGCACATGTAGCATCTACATTTGCTTCCCAAGAAGTTGGACACCTGGGTGGAATTTACCGTTTACACATGGTGGGCACTTTTTCCATATTAAGTATTCTGCATTGTAAGCAGAGTCTTGTGTGTTCTTTAACAATTAAACACTTTAGAGTAGGAACCTTCTGTAAAGCATGATCCAAAAATTTAGCATATTACATAATGAATATAAAGGATGTCTGCATACTTACTTAAACTAGAAAGTTTAAGTGTTGGTATACCAGCCTCAATAGTATTCTCCTTAGGGTAGCTTGGTTTTTAAATTGCCAAATTTTAAATTGCAATTTCAATCTTAAAACTGAGAAACTTTACAATAAAAACTTTAAACAGGAAATATAATTGGTCCTAGAAGAGAAGTAAAGAAGTAAATATTACTGTTTGTGCAATCATTAAAATGTTTTGATTATTTATAACTAAATATAGCTTTTATATTATGTTTGATAATTATTTTGCTGACCAGAAAAACTCATTGTAGCTACACATATTTGTTTTAGTTAATTATAAAGCTTAACATGTGTATATATACACAGACAGATTTTTAATCCCTACTGATTCATTATATTTGCATAATATCTTATTAGATAATTAACATTTTTTTTCATGATCTCTGGTTAGATGTATTTGGCTGGAAATAATAATTAAACTCACAAGTAGTATTTTTTTAAAGTGTGTTATATTAGATAAATAAAACTGCTTTAAACATGTTGGCCATGAGACAGACTGCAATTACAGAGCTGTGAAAAGTAAATACTAACATTCTTGTTGTAAAGACTGAAAATAATACATATTGTATTCTATTTTAAGTAGGTAGTCTCAACTGAAAAAGGCAGGTATTTATCCAGCTTATGTAAACAGTGCTCATTAGGCACAAGGTGCTGTCAGTCAGTCCTGTGCTAGGAGCAGCCTTGAAACTGATTAGCTCTTGTCACTTTGAAGGGTTCTAATTGTTAGGACTTCAGCTATAAGCCTTGAAAGTACGGGTACTAGTCAATTTCACAGCTGCTGTAATAAGCTCTGAAAACGGGGGAACATAGTAGCTGTGAAACTGACTGGCTTGCATCAATTTGAAGGCTTCTTATGACAGTCCTTTGACAGCTGCTTTCCTTTTACCTTTTCTGTGCCGTTAACTGGAGTACAATTACATTACAAAGTAGTAGCAGGGCTTAAACAGTTATGTACTTAAATGATGTACATATAACTAATGTCTTTTACGACATCAGCAATGAGTAACAAATTGGGACTGGCATTGTGTTATGCAGTTGAGCAAAATATGTATTACTCAGATAATGCACATTCTAATATTATAAAAGCCTTAGTCTTTCTCTCTGTCCATAATGCTTTATTCCTGCTTTGATTGGCTGATAAACAGCCAATCAGAGTGCGAAGAAAGCAGCCTGCTGCCATGATGATGGGGACACAGGATGGAGTGTGGGGGTGAGGCCCTCCTGCCTTGCTGCTGGCCTTATCTCCCCCCCCCCC